GCACACCTCCAAAATATCTAGGTGATTTGTTTCTTCTTTCGGCTTTTCTGATATTTTCTTTCTTTTTAAAAAAATGTTTATAAATTCTTTTATTTAATTTTATTTGTGTATTTATTTTTTAATTTGACTAGCGAGGGACAGAGTGAGTGAGAAAGAGAGAGAAAAAGCGAGAAAGCAAGCCACCAGGTCCAGGACTCGAACTGCGGTCGGTCATGTGGGAGTCCAGTGCCCTTAACCACTACACCACCTGCTGGCCCCCTTTTTTAAAAATATTTTTATTTACTATCATTATTCTTCAATTTTGACCAGAGAGAGACAGAAAGGGAGAGTGAGAAAGCAAGCTGCCAGGTCCAAAACCAGAACCAGAACCACGGTTGGCTATGTGGGAGTCCAGTGCCTCAATCACCAGGCCACCTGCTGGCCACCTTTTCGGGTATTTTCTAAAATACAGATTTTTTTTTTTCCTTTTTAAGGTTTTTGCCATAAAGATATACTCCCCGGAGAAAGACAGAAGAGACAGAAAGCAAGAAAGCACTCTCCAAGGGCATGACCACACCACAGTCCCATTGCCAATCTCCATTCTCTTCTAGGGATTTTTGGGCCTGGTGATTTTCAAGCCACTGGGTCTGGGGCTTGAACTATAGTTGACCATGTAGGAGTCTAGCACCTTATGCACTATGCCACCTGCTGGCCCCAATCTGGATGATATTTTTTGGGGGGAGAGGTTTTTGCTATAGGGCGCGTGTGCTCGCCAGACAGACAGAGAAGAGATAGAGAGACAGGAAGCAAGAAATTACTCCCCGGGGGGATGGCCATGCCGCAATCCCTTCTCCTTCATTCTCCTCTTGGGATCTTGGGCACGCACACACACGCGCCTGGTGTGAGTTTAAGCCACCGGGTCTGGGATTCGAACCGTGGTCGACTACATGGGAGTTTATCAACATAGCCATTATGCTAACTGCTGGTCCCAATATAGATGATTTTTACACTCATTAATAGATGGGACTTTTACATTTACTTACTAGGTAATCTTGAGAACATGAATAATCTTAATCCCTGTGCCTCAGTTCCCTTGTTTGTAAAAGAACGTATAGCGTATAGTAAAGACTCAATGTTTCCAATGTATATTTTTCGTGACTATTATTTTAAAAATTAAAAGTGCCAAGCACAGGAAGAGCAGCAAGATGTTAACCAGCACTTAGCTACAGGCCCTAAACACCAACAAGGAATGACTGAAAAGGAGCTATTATAATAAGGGGGGGGGGAACCAGCAGATAGCATGGTGGTTAAGACACTGGACATTCCCACATGGATAACCACAGTTCAAGTCCTAGACCCGGTGGCTTTCTTTCTTTTGGAGAGGTTTTTGCTATTGGGCATGTGCACTTTCCAGAAAGACAGAGAGACAGAAAGTGAAAAATCACTGGGAACCAGCAGTTAGCATAATGGCTATGTCGCTGGACTCCCATGTAGTCGACTGCAGTTCGCGTCCCGGACCTGGTGGCTTAAAACTCACGCTGGGCGCGCGTGTGTGTGTGCCCAAGATCCCAAGAGGAGAATGGAGGAGAAGGGACAGTGGCGTGACCATCCCCCCCAGGGAGTGATTTCTCGCTTTCTGTCTCTATGTCTCTCTGTCTGTCTGGCGAGCACATGTGCCCTATAGTGAAAAATCTCTCAGTCAACTACATGGGAGTCCACCAACATAGCCGTTACGCCAACTGCCGGTCCTTGATAGCTTAGTTTCTCACTTTCCCTCTCTCTCCCTCTCTGTGTGTCTCTCGTGGTCAAATTAAAATAAATTAATAAATAAAATTAAATTATAAATTCTTTTTTTAAAAAAGAAGGGAAATAAAACTTTCACAAAAGTGAGACTTATTTTTAAGCCAAAGAAGAATTTGTAAGAGAGCAAAGTAGTGAAAAGAAGTTGCTTGATTTGTGGCAATATTATGTCAGGCTCAGCATTTAAGGAAGGTCATTTCAACAATAATAAAAGAACAACAGCAGGTGGCATGTTGGTTAACAATGCTGGACTCCAACATGGCTGACTGCAGTTCGAGTCCTGGACCTGGCAGTTTACTTTCTCATTTTCCCACCATCTCTTTCTCCCTCTCTCTCTCTCTCTCTCACTTTGTCCTTCTCTAGTCAAATTAAAGTAAATAAATAAAGACAGAAAGAAAGTTAAATAAAATAATTCTTTTTTTTTTTTTTTTGAGAGGTTTTTGCTATAGGGTGCGTGTGCTCGCCAGACAGACAGAGAGAGACAGACAGAAAGTGAGAAATCACCCCCCGGGGGGGTGGCCAGGCCGCAATCCCTTCTCCTCCATTCTCCTCTCGGGATCTTGGGCACACAAGCACACGCGCCTGGCGTGAGTTTAAGCCACTGGGTCCGGGACTCGAACCGCGGTCGACTACGTGGGAGTCCAGCGACATAGCCATTATGCTAACTGCTGGTCCCCAATAAAATAATTCTTAAGAAAAAAAAGTATAGAAACTATAGCTCATCCCTATTCCCTCTGCTATTCTCTAGTGGTCACTGAGAACTACCTAATGAGAAATTTGACAGGGAATAAACATTGCAAAACCATTTGGACTCTGTAGTCACATCTGCAGAAATCAGAGCCAAAAGCCATCCCTGGGGAGGCTATGCTCTAAGTCCTCACCTTGAAGAAGAAAGTAGTCAGAAGTCGTTCGCTTCAGAGCGGCCTTCGCTTTATCACTGCTCCAGTCCACTTCCAGTGCTTCTTTAATAGGACAGAAGACCACCTTCTGTTAAAAGAAGGCAGTACCATTTAAGAATAAAATACATTATGGTGTTAAATCACAAAGTGGCAGTAGCCCTTTTCCATCTCAGAGAAATTTCATTATTATTATTTTTTACTTTTTAGGTTTTTGCCATAGGGTGTACACATTCAAAAGGGAGAGTCGAGAGAAAGAGGAAATAAGAAATCACCTCCAGAAGGGATAGCCTCACCTCAATCCATTCTCCTTCATCCTTATCTTGTGATTTTTTGGGCATGCACGCACACACACCTGGATTGATTGTCAAGCTGCCAGGTCCAGGACTTGAACTGTGGTCAGCCATATGGGAATCCAGTGCCTTAATCACCAACCACTTAATGGCCCTGAAATTTCATTATTTAAAAGTTTACTGATCAGGGGTCAACAGGTGATGTGGTGGTTGTGTCAGACTCCCACACGGTCGGGTATGGTTCATGTCCCAGACCTGGCAGCTTACCTCACTCTGTTGAGCACATGGGTGATTTCTTTATTCTGTCTCTCAGTCTTTCTGGTGAGTGCATGTGCCCGAAAGCAAAAATCTCTGAAAATAAATAAAAATAATAATAATGATAAATTAAATTAATAATTCGTTGCCCCCCCCCAAATTTCTGCTATAGGGCATGTATGCCCCCCAGAGAGACAGAGGGTGAGAAATCATTCCCCAGGGGTATGGCCACACTGCAATCCCTTATCCTCCATTCTCTTCATGGGATTTTGGGCATGCAAGCACATACGCCTGGGGTGGGTTTTAAGCTTCTGGGCCCAGGACTCGAACCGCAGTTGAGTCCAGTGACGTATCCATTAAGCTATCTGCTCGTACCAGTGGTCCTATTTGTAACATGGACTAGCCCTCACACCTCATGTGACAATGAGGTACGTATATGGCTCCAGCCAGGCCAGATTCTTTTCTGGAAGTTGAAACTACTAAAGTTTAAGGGTCATTTGAAAAGTCATGACACATCTTTGACTTTTCTGACAACCCAACAGAATAGAGTCACATTAATGGCAGAGTTCTAAAGGAAGGCCCAAACTCCTACTCCTTCCTGGGTTCCCCAAATGCCCTGGTATTTATCTCCTCAATTACAGGAGTGATTCAAACTTCTGCACTACCACAGTATTACTCCAATTAATGCCTACTACTGTCACTCATAACTACTAAAAATAAAATAAGATGTACTTAAGGCACCTAATATGTAGTAGGACAGATGAAAAGGTAGTATCTGTGGTATGGAGTTTATAAGAAAAAACATACCTGACAGTACTTCCAGGGAATGACACTTTCAGATGAGACACCTTCCAGTATCCATCAGGTGGTAGCATTCACTCTCTACCCAGTGAATAGGAACTTAATCTCGTTTATTCCTTTCTTTCTCCATGTCCTGGGTCATGCTACAGGGCATGACCAACTCCCCTCTACTATCTATTTCCTGAACTGACAATTCTGGGTTTAAGGATTTCAATCTGATCCAACAAGATTAGTAACAAGCCTTCTTTTTTCTTTTGGAGAGGTTTTTGCCCTTTTGGAGGGCGCATGTGCTTGCCAGACAGACAGACAGAGAGAGACAGACAGATAGACAGAAAGCGAGAAATCACCCCCCAGGGGAGATGGTCACACCGCAATCTCTTCTCCTCCGTTCTCCTCTCGGGATCTTGGGCACGCACGCACACGTGCCTGGCTTGAGTTTTAAGCCACCGGGTCCTGGACGCAAACTGCGGTCAACTACATGGGAGTTCAGTGACATAGCCATTATGCTAACGGCTGGTACCAACAAGCCTTCTTAAATAACTGACTTCCTCTCCCCAAATGGGTATAAGTATCCAGGGACAACAGTAAAAGGCATGGAGCTGAACAGGTTAGATTTCCAATAAATAATTTTTACTACATAGGATCCAAACTGCTTTTCATCTGCCAAAAAGCCCATCAGTAAATATAAAAGATTAGTACTCCGGTACCAGCAGGTGGCGTGGTGGTTAAGGTGCTGGACACTCCCAAATGGCTGACCACGGTTCAGGTTCCAGATCTGGTGGCTTGCTTTCTCACTTTACTCCTCTGTGTGTGTGTGTGTGTGTGTGTGTGTGTGTGTGTCTGGTCAAATTAAAATAAATGAACAAATAAATAAAATTGAAAAAAAAAGTGAATGAATAAATTTAAAATTAATAATTTTTTTTTAAATTAAAAAAAAGAAGGATTAGTTCTCCACAAAGTCTATCAACTAACAAGTTATGAGGTTATGCTGACCCACTTAAGATTGGTAAACTGCTATAACCTCAATGCAATGAGATTGGTTAAAGAGACTGTAGCAAGGCAGAGGAAAACCTATGCAGCCATCTAAACTCATGCTCTCTGTGGGGAGCCAGAATACACCAGGAAATCTACAACTGTTTATATCAGCAAAGCTTTCCCTGAGCTCCCCAGACCAGCCGAGGCACAGGAAGCAACGAATAGCGGTCTGAACATGGCTAGGAAAACCAAATCAATTCATTTTCTCATCTTACTCTTCCTTAGCTTAACCCTAAGCTTCTGTTTTTTCTGTATAGTATAACATCTTCAGTTAACGGGCTCTCCTTTCAGTACTTATATGTGCACATTTAATACAATATGATTTTTTTCCCTTGGTAATCTAGTTGGTCAATTTTATTTCACAGACTAAAATTAATAGAAACTTTAGAGGGGAAGAATAGTTAAAACTTTCCTATATCCGCAAGGTAAATGTAAAGATCTGGGGAGTCTGTATGAATACATATTGAGTGAAAAGAACAAAAGACAAAACTACATATATGAGTACTTCTGTTTATGTATGTGTATGTCATATATGTTTTAGCGTAAGCTAATTAGTACTCCAATTTTGTTATGTATCTATGTAAGAAAACTATAGAAAAGAGCATTACAAGCATTATCAGGTAGTAGGATTCATACTTTCAACATGTTCTTATTTCCCACATTTGGGACTATACACTTATTTTTGAAATAGATTAACATCAGTAACAGGTGATACAGTTCTAGATACAAAGATGAATGGCAGACTGGCCCTGCAGTACATCTTTTCTCTAATTTTCTTTAAAGAATTATTTTATTCATTTATTCAAATTTGACTAAAGGGAGACAGAGAGAGTGTGGGAAAGTGAGACAGCAAGCCACCAAGTCCAGGATTCAAACCACACTCGGCCATGTGGGAATGTTCAGTGCCTTAACCACCATGCCGCCTGCTGGTTCCTTAAGGGAAGGAAAACCATCCTAATGGTTCCACTGGGGCTTGAACCCAGGAACTTCTGAGTGTAAAGCAAACATGATAACCGCTACACTATGGAACCACAGTATATCTGTTAAGCACTATATACAAAGAGCTGGATCCCACATGAGCATGTCATGATTTGAATCCCTGGTCCTGAAGGCTTGAAAAACACACCAGGTGCATGTACAAGTGTGCCTAAAATCCTGACAGAATGGAGGAATAGAGGAAAAAGGATTTTTGCCTGATCGTGGTTCAATGGAGGTTGCTTTCTCCCTCTAGTGAAAACACGTGCCATCTGGCAATTAAAAAAGAAGAAAAGTGAATGGAAATCCAAAATGAAACAACATTTAAAACTACAGGTTTCGGGACCAGCAGTTGGCATAATGGCTATGTCGTTGGACTCCCATGTAGTCGACCACAGTTCGAGTCCCAGACCCGGTGGCTTAAACTCACGCTGGGCATGTGTATGTGCATGCCCAAGATTCCGAGAGGAGAAGGGATTGCAGCGTCGATCCCCTCTGGGGTGTGGTTTCTCACTTTCTGTCTCTCTGTCTCTCTCTGTCTTTCTGGTGAGCACACGCACCCTATAGCATAAACTTCTCCAAAAAATAAATAAATAAATAAATAAAATAATAAAAATAAAACTATAAGTTTCTAGGTCCACTCTCAAGACCTATTCAATCAAAATCTCCAAAAGGCCAGACAGTGGCATGGTGGTTAAGATGACTGGATACCAAGTGGCCAATTTTGCAGTCTGAGTCCTGGACCTAGTGAGTTGGGAAACATGCCAGGCACATGAGTGCACATGTCCAAAATCTCAAGAGGAGAATGAAGAAGGGATTATAGCCTGGCCACCCACCCTGGGAGGTGATATTTCTTTCTCTCTGGCTAGCACACACCCTGTAGCAAGAACTTAAAAAGAAAATAAAATCTCCAAGGGAAAAAAAAAGAAAGGGACCTGGAAGTCTATGACTTTAAAATGCATTCTTTTGGAGCTAGCAGGTGGTTAAGGTGATGAATTCCCACGTGGCCAATCAACAACTTGAAACTCATGCCATGCACGTGTGCATGAGTGCCCCAAATCCTGAGAGGAGAATGGAGAAGAACGAACTGCAGCATAGCCATCCTCCCTTGGGGATGATTTATTTTTATTCTGCCTTTCTGTCTCTCTGGCGAGTGCATGAAACCTATAGCAAAATATCTCTTTAAAAAAAAAAAAAAAAAAAAAATAAGAGCAGTCTGTTCATTTTTTTAAATTGACATATAATTATAAATATTCAGGATGTAAAATATTTAGAAAGCATTTTAGGCCAGCCTTGATGGTGTAGGAGAACATATTGGCAATGTTGAGGCCATATGACAAGGTCCTAGATTCATGTCCCAAGGTCTCCACGCTAGGGTGGAAGGGAATTTGCCTGTAATCATGCCTGGCGGAGACTAGGGATAGATTGCAACATAAAGACCCTATTAGTGTCTCTCTTTCTACGTCCCCAATCACTCCCTGTTTCCTCTCTCATGGAAGAAATAAAACTTTAAAAAGAATCTTCTGGGGCTGGCAGGTGGCGTAGTAGATAATGACGCTGGAGTCTTGAACCTGGCGGCTTGCTTTCTCACTTACTTTCTCTCTGGTCAAAGTAAAATAAATAAATAAATAAACTTAAATAATTCTTTAAAAAAAAGAATCTTTTGGGCCAGTCAGGTGGCATGGTGGTTAAGGCTAAATCCCACATGACTGACTCCATGGTTCGCATTCCA